GGCATGTAGGACCTTGATTAAGTTTGTGTGAGGGGAGAGAGAGATGCAGATGAAGTTGTCTATTTCAGGAGCCAGTGGCTTCTATTTCTACTGTGATTTGTCACCCAGGTATTTTCAAGGTGGTACAGTATTGTGGTGATGTTGGCAGTAATCAAGGGAGGAGAAAGGCATTCCATTCAAATCCTTCTTCTCCATTTATGATGTTCAGAAACAAGAATTCTTTTTTATGAAATTACTTTTGCTTTGCCTTAGGCCAAAGGTGACTTTTTTTTTTAAAGAAAATCTGGAACAAAATCTATTCAGCTGGGTTTTTGAGTTACATAATCTTGAAAAACTATAAATATTTTCTCTTTTGAAATTAGTTCTAACTCTAGAAAAAAGTTTTGAGACTATAGAGGGTCCATTTTCCATCTTCATTTGCATGTAGTCCTCAATGAGGAGTTCAGTCTTTGCTAAGTTTGAAAAATGTTGGGCCAGATCTCAGCTGGTTTAAGTGGGCATATTTCTGTCCAATTCACTATTGCAACACTGATTTAATAAGACTGGATCTATGTTTTGAAATTGGATTTATCAACATTTGAAAACTGACTGTGTGCAGCACATACATTCCTTTAATGCAATAAGCAAGCATCATTTGCGGTGGTTATGTTTTCATATTTCTAAAATGTCACGGTCGGTTCCCGTCCTGTGCTCTGGGAACCTATCCCATAGTTTAAAACCACAAAACAAGAAAAATATAGCTCATCCATAAAGATAGCCCATCCCCTCTTCCTTAGTGAAGAGAGAAAATATATGCCCAGAAGGCTAATAAATCTATGCTCTGAAAGACTACTTATAGGATGGAGTTCTACTCCTGAGGACCTCTCACAGAACACCCTGCCAGCATTATGACAGATATAATGGGACACATTCAGCCCTCAGTTATACTCATGTAAACCCACTGAAATCAGTGTGGTTGAATGTGTAGAATGTGACCCAAAGGCTTTTTTCTGCAGCTGTGTAAATTCAGCAGCAGGTTAAGAGGAATTATTTGGGTTCTGTTTCATTGGACTGTCTTACCCTGCACCCTGTGCACAGCCTGGCCAGTGCTTTCTCTTCCTTATTTTCCTTCCATCACAATCCACAATATTCTTTTTTAGAGATCATGAGATAAATTGTTACCGCACTAAGTTCAAATGCTGAGCGCAACAATGAAAGGTCCTGAAATCTGTTTAAATGACAATGGCTTTTACCAAGGGTTGGGGTGGACATTTAAAAATCTAGATTGGATGCTTTTATAAAAGATGTGGTATGGTTCAAAGAGGAATTAATTCAGGGAAGTTCTATGGCCTGTATTACACAGAAGATCAGACTAATGATCACAGTGGTCTCTTCTGGCATTATAATCTATAAGAGATTTTTAGCTTGATCACTGGAGATGGGGATTTAGTTAAAGGGACCACATCCTCACCAGCCTGATGTTTAGTTCATATTATAAAACCACACTGTAGTCGGCATCGTGCTTAGGAGAGATCTGTGGCTGGAATAGCAGTGGATGCTGTAGGTCAGGATTAAGATCCTAATGGCCTAGCTGTGTGGGGGAAGCAAACACAGTACTAACATTTGCTGTGTTCAGCCATTGCTCTAGCCAGTGCTGTCCGCCACTCTTTCAAGAGTAACACATTTATACTCTTTGAATTGACATGATGACAGTGTAATCAAAGAATAACTGTGCCTTGTTCCTGTGTATTTGAAGATTGTAAATGAGGTGAAATCTTCTTAAGTGAACACTTTAATAAATGAACTACTGAATTTGAAGCTCTGCCATAAGCAAAATATCTTTACTGCTATCCATGGGTCATTTGCAAAACTGCTGGTGTAGGTTTTTCATATGATGCATTTACTAGTTGGGAACATTAACACATCAGCAAGCATGGTGATTCTACACTTCGAAAAGCTACCCTTGAAGACTTGAGGAAGCCGCTCAGAATCTTTGGAAGATGGGGTTATGATGAAAACTTTTAAAATAACTTGTGGCACTTTTTTTTTTTTTTTTTTTTTTTAAGCAGCCTTAGATGAAATCTTTCTACGTTTCGTGGGATGATCCATTGCAACCTGGCTTGTCTGCCTGGGAACTTCCCAAACAGCTTCCCTAGTTAGATAAAAGTTCTACATGAATGTGCAGAATTATCTGACTGTTTTGTTTGAAAGATGGCAGTCACATATAAAGGCAGAGAATTGTCTGGGCCAGGTCCTGATCTGCAGCCAAGATATGCCCAGTGCAGCTGACGTGGGGGTGCATATATGCCCTTTGTACTTCCCAATCCTGAGGCTACTTTGCACCAGTAAAGTGGTGCCGAGCAGTTAGAGCATGGTCCAGGGTGGGACTTATGTATTGGCCAATTCACAAACTACGTTTTCATGGGTATTTAATAAAAGAGAAAGTAACTCAGGAAAAACTGAATTATTCCTTAAATATGCAGGTCAAATATGAATTTGCATGCTGCCAACTCTGTTGGTGCTCTTCTGAGTCGGTGTATTATCATCTCTCACAACACCAGAATGCTCATGGCAGTGCACACAGAGTGGGATTTTCAAAAGCGTTCCTGATTGTCCTTAACTGTGCTGCGCTTGAGAGTTCTACCACTGACTGAGTGAGAGCAGGGCTAGGCCAGCACAGAGTGCTTTGGAAAATCCCGCCCTTTGAGAGCGATGTATGTTTGTACGTTGTACCGAAGCATAGCAGTGATACGCTCCATGAAAACGGAATAGAATTTTTGCCATCTCTGCACAACAAAGTTACGTATACGCTGTGCACTGTAGTGTGTACACATAAAACTAGTGTGAAATGCATCAAAAGCCAGGCAAAATTATCTGTATTTTTTAGATGAGCATAAACAGCACTCCTTCTCATCATGGTAGTACTTCTGGTGGGGTGTTAAAAAAAAAAAAAATGAAATATAACCAGTGTCACAGTTTCAGGGTAACTGCACTCTCCGTGGTCCTTCGAGGGCACCAGTTTAAAGGTTTCCAGCATCCAGCTGTCACTGAAGCCCCCGCTTCTGACATTCTGTAATATGTTGTCCCTCGGCTGGTAGTGCTGTTGCAGCCTCAGGGGCAGTGCTATGCTGAGCTGACAGGTCTCCTCCCACCGCCCATAGAGAATGGCAGCCACAACGTGTAGGAGCTTGAGCGGCTATTGCTGCAAGCTGGTAGGGGCTGTGCTGCCTCTCCAGAATGCCTGTGGGAAAAGGGGGATGCTGAGGAGCTGGCTCAGGGGGTGCTGGTTCTGAGGAGGTGACAGTCGTGGTCACTGCCAAGTCTTTATTACTGCACAACCTTCGCAGGCCCCACCCTGGAGCCTGAACTGCACCTCCATCTCCCAATAATGGCTGAGGTGGCATGGGCTTGGGTCGGGCCAGAGCGAAGGGCCCAGCCTGGCTGCTTGGGGGTGGAGGGGTGCTAGCGCAGAGTTGGGGGTTGGCACCAGTGCAGTAATTGTTACTTGCACGTTTTGTTGCTTTGGGCTGCAGCGTTGCTCTTTTAGTTAGTTTGCAAAGCTGATGCTATTCGGTAACATTTTGGAAGAGGTTGGTAAATTTTTGTAGTCTTTGCTGTCCCCTGCTTGAGACCCTAAGTGGTGGGGACCTAAAGCAGAAAATTATTGGAAAATTCTTTTTCTGAGCCCATCTTTCCTATCTTTAATTTATCTCTTATTTTGGCTTTAAGTTGAATTTACTTTCACTGTGAATTTATTACATGTATGGTCTTAAAGATCAAATGTGTTTTCATTGCATGCAATGGTGATTGTAAAAAATGTAAATCTGTGTAGGAATATTCTATTTCAGCATGCACCAAAAGGCACTATTATTAAAGACTTCACAGTACCTTGAGTTTAGCTCTTACAATCCCTATTACCGTGTTGCACCAATTTTTATTTGAAATCACAAACCTTTTCTGGGGAGGTTTCTGGGCCTGCATGTGAACCCTGCAAAATCCTGAAACAAATAGATTTGCATGGATTTGATGCCTGTTTTCTCCCCTATTGCCCTACCCAAATCCTGGTATTTCTCAGTATTCCCTCCTTTTTAGGGAAAAGAGAGAAGTGTGAAAATGTCTTTAATGCTCCATGTGTGCCTCTGGAGGTGTACACATAATCATTTACTGAAAATGCCTGTAATGAATTAAGGGTTTGAGATAGTGTTGCCACCTAATCTATGACGTGCAAAAGTGCTACTTATTTTTATTTTAAACAAGTCCAGATTTTTTTTTCTTTTCATATAGTGGTAACTCCCTTTAAAATATCAAAGTCAACATTTTCCACAATATAAAAGAGAAAGAAATACCTGTTAAATTACATTAAACTATGTTAAGATAATTGAAATACTGGAATCAGGTGGAAATGGCATTCCTGAAAGAGGGAAACTCCTTCTTTATCTCTCTTATTGCATATAGTCTGAAGCTCCTGCCATCAGCTGCTAGTGTTTCCTTCTGTTTTCTGTCTTTAGCCATTGTAAACCTTCCCTTTTCCTCCCATTTACATATACATCAGTATCACTTTGTGATTGGCAAACCGTGTCACTTTAGTGGCAACCATAATTCCCACTCTCCCTTTCCTGATTATTTTTCTGAGTCCTTCAGTACCAGCAGCTAGGCCAGCAGTAGACCAGTGTTTTTCCTGCTCTTCAGGAGTAGAGGTACAGGTGTCTCTCTCTTTTCTGCCCAGAGACATCAAGGAAAATGGAGTCTTTTTCTATTCAAAGGGTGGCATACAAATGCTGCTCTTTATAAGATGAGCTCAGTGTGTGTTTAGCTGATGTGATATATTTTATTGATTTATGCTCTTTTAGGGCACTTCTCAGACATTCATTATATTTGTTGTGTAGAATGTTGAAATGGGAACTGTTTTGCAATGTGAGCAACCCCGTTTTCAGCCTCATTCTGTAGCTCTGCAGGGCATTGGAAGAGTCTGGCTTCATATAGTGGTATAAACTGGTAACCTTTCCTCCTTTCCCTTTCAGAGAGTAATATGTGGGAGGCTGTGGACTACGCGCTTCCGACATAGGAACAGCACTGGGTTGGGAATCTCTACTTCTGAGAGAATGCTGGGAATCTGCAGAGGGAGACGGAAATTCCTGGCTGCCTCTCTGACTCTCCTTTTTGTTCCAGCCTTTACCTGGATTTACCTGTTTTCTGGGAGTTTTGAAGGTAAGAGTAAAAAAACCTGGTGGGAACTGATGAGTGAGGAGGATTGGAGCTAACAAGTGGAAGGATTTCAATCATTATAGGTTAAATAAAGCTGTTGTCATGCACTGCAAATGGCTTCCTGTGTGTGGCTCTTAACAACAGGAGTCCTTGCCACCATCTGACAGATGAGGAGGATGTAGATCCTGGCATCAGCAGTTTGCTTTTTCTCTTCCACTTTTAAAAAGCACTGTTAGAAATTATTTCTCCTTATTCTTTTTCTTCTCTGTGCTTCCTGGCATTTCCTTTTCTGTATCCCATATCATGGTGGAAGATAATTATGGTGATAAAATCTTAATTTAAGAGCAGCTCTAAAAAGAGAAATGTTTGTTTATGTTGATTTTATGGTTATTACTAATCACGTTTATTACAGCAGAGCCTAAGGGCCAACCAAGACAAACAGAGTTGTTGATAGTCTCTACCCCAAAGATCTTATAATCTGAATAGACAAGACAGACACAGAGTGCGGGAAAGGATATAGAAGTACTTTAAAAGGGCACCCATCCATATGCTCTAGGCACTCTTGAGACACAACTTTAAAACACAAGAGCAGCAATTTAAGAGAACCTTGCCACAATTCTCCCTCCCCTTTGACGAGTTTTCCACCCATACAATTACAATCCCTCCCCCACATCCCTTCTTTATCTTCAAATACGGGATGGGAGGGAATGACCTTGCAATGAGCCCTGACTGTCATCAGATTTGAGGTGGGGTAGAGGAGAAGAACAAATTGCAGAGCTGGGGGGAATCACAGATAAATCCCCACCAGAAGCCACTTCTCAGGTATACTAGTGGAGCTCCAGTTTGAGAGCTTCTGTTACTCTCACCTTATACCAGTGAGGTAGGCATGTTTGTGTCATTGTGGACATGGCTGAGATCAGATGTTGGCTTGTTTTCAAATGTGTTCCTCCCTCCCCTCCCCTTCTTTAGTGATGCAAAAGGAGCTGTTGTAAAAATGTTTGCAAGGATTTGCTGAGTATTTCTGTATGAAGTTACAAAATAACATTTCAGTAAAGTATGCAGAGCTATCTACAGTGGACAGCTGTAAGTGGACAGCTTTTCAATCCATTTATCAGTGCCTGGCAGGTGAAACAAATATTGAGCACAGAAAATCAATCTGTACCTCGAGGATCTTGCAATATAAAACCAGCTTAGATGCACTGTCTTTGGCCAGCTCTTGCTTGCTGTAGCTGTGGTGGGAATGCCTTTCTATTTCTTTCCCACTGCAGGTGGAGATGCTCAATATAGTCCGTGCACTGATTTGCAGCTGTATATTAGTGACTTGGAAAAAAACACCACTTTGCCAATTAAGTTCTAAATATGATGATCTAGGTTTCTAGTATTAAAGGACTTCATTAGTGACACTTCATTTAGGTGGGGTCAGAAAGAACTGTGATTCCCAATCTTATTTTCTGTTACATTGTAGTTTGAAAAATTGGGATGGAACATTTTATGCTTGGTCAACAGGTGATTTCGCTTTTGAAAGCTTAAGGAAAATCTGTTCAGCAGTTTTTGAGTTATCCTAGCATGAGAAAAGGTGTTTCAGCCACTTAAAATGTGTTCAGATTCTAGCTTTCTCTCTGACCATTCAAAAAGCTGACCATATATACACGTGTGCTTGTGTGATTGTATTTAGTGATTCACCACTAATGTACAATCACTGTTTGAGGTCATCCTGGGATGAAACATTTATAGGATTCACAGTAAACTGGAAACATAAGGGGCAGTAGATGGTTGCTTGAAAACATGGTGTTACAAGCTAAAGGCCATGATTTTGTTTAATTGCAAGAGTTGAGCAAGTTTGGGCCTTACCTTTTGAGTTTTAGAAAAATAATTATGGTCACACTTTACATTAAGGTTCCTTTTTACAAAGGGTTTATAAATGATGTTATAAGCAAGTTAGAGACATGAGTAGTATGTGTTGTAAATGGTTATAAGCACATCCCTGGAAGGTATTACAAATGGTTATGAACCAAGATTATAACGAAGTTATTGAGATTTTGAACTCAACAATTTATAACAATTGATTAGCCAATTATTTAAGCATCTAATCATCATTTTCAGAGATTCAGAGTTTAAGGCTGGAAGGGATCATTAGATCATCTAGTCATCTGTATATCATAAGCTAATACATTTTACCCATTTACCTTTGTGTTGAGCCCAGTAACTTGTCTGACTAAAGAATAACTTGTGTTTGGCTATAGCATGTTTTCCAGAAAGATCTTCAGTCCTGATCTGAAGACATCCAAGAGATGGAGAATCCACCACTTCCCCTGGTAGTGATTCCAGTTGTTAATCCCCTTCATTGTTAAAAATTCATGTCTAATTTCTAATTTGAATTGGTCTGGCTTCAGCTTCCAGAAACTGATGCTTGTTATGCCTTTCCCTGCCACCTTAAAAAGTCCTTTTGTATCTGGTACTTTTCCCCTGTGAAGATACTTATACACTATAATTAAGTCACCGCTCAGAATTTTTGATAAACTAAACAGATCGAGCTCTTTAAATTTTTCACTGTAAGAAACTGTCTCCATCTCTTGTATCATTTTTATGACGCTTTTCTGCACCCTCCCCAATTTTTCAACATCCTTTAAAAAATGTGGGCTCTAGAACGGTACACAGTATTCCAGTAGTGGTCTCACCAGTGCTGTATACTCAGCCCACCTGGAATAACACGAGAGTTGCACACTACCCAAGCTTTGAAAGCAAACACTACTAAAAATCTTGCTTAGCACATATAAATGATTATTCAGGTTATGACCCACCATACTAAAGAGGATTCTGAATACTGTGTGGTCTTTGAATGTGTCTGATTCCGGTTGTTGTTTTTAACATTGTATATAAGGGCAAGATAACATCAGGTATCAGTTATTTGGAATGAAAAAGCTGAGCTAATGGCTTGTAATCCTTAAATTATCCCAGAAAAGCAAAGGAATGGGCGGGGGGGGGGGGGAGGGGGAAGGTGAGGTGCGGTGCCAGGTGTTTAAATAGGAGAAAGAAAATTACCAAGTAATATTTAAAATTTTAAATATAAATTTGTGGAAGACACCTCCAGCACTATCAGAGATAGCAGCACCCCCCTGCCATAGGCAGCATCTGCTGAAAACTGCAGGTCAGACTTGTAGTGTCTGGAGAAGATAGGTTTCTCAAAAAGGTGGCATCTTTACATATCTTTTCATAAGGTATGTGAGCATGGAAGTAGCCACTGCTCTCGTGGAATGGGCCATGATGTCCTACCATGGCTTCGAACCCTTGGCCATGCTGGATTCAATAATGCAGGCTTTTATCGACCTAGTAACAGATGTTTTTGAAACTTTTTTACCTTTGATATCAGAATGACACAAGACAAAAGCATTACTTTTATCTTGGATCTCCTTTTAGCTGTGGGTTATCATGACTATTCTTTGGCCTTCTATCTGTGTGGATACTGTCATAAAGCTTGAGTAATTAGACTCCCAAGGATTGTCCTTTTGGTGGAACAGGTTCTCTCTTCTCATTTTTTAGAAAGTGATCTCTGTGTGTGGTCCTTCACAACCTTGAATCCAGCTTAAATTCATATGTCTGGAAATGTATTTTATAGTCTATGCAAAACAACACTGTATGTAACATTGCTCAGTTTTGTGTGATCATGAGATGAAAAGCCCTACTTTTGTGCTGTATTTTCCACAGATTTTTTTTGTTTTGTTTTTAGCTCCAGTTTAAGGAGGCGGGTGTTTTTCCTAGAAATTCTTAGTTTTTACAACACGTTTAAAAATGGCACAGTGTAGTAGTTCCTACAGAAGCTTCTGAGAGATTCCGGGGACTTTGAAAGCTGCATAAGGACAGACTTCACTCCTCCTTAGACTGCTTCCTTCGTTTTGTCAGTTGGTGTCCTCTCTCCTGATCCTAACACAATACCCCCAAATACAGAATGTGGACTCTGTTTCTCCCATTCCCTCTACCCTGAGGACCATGTGAAACAGATGTGTGGGACTGTCATTGGGCAAGTGCACTCTAGACTATCTGTCTATCTTAGGTACCCATTTGGCCCCCGTTACTCTAATATCTTAGTGTTTCACGGTCTTCAACACATTTACCCTCAATACTGCTGTGAGAAGGGGAAGAGGCATTAACTTAATTTTACAGAAACGGAGGCCTAGAGAGACTATGTTACCTGCCCAAGGTCAGGAACACTGTTGCAGAGTGGGGAATTGAACCTGGTGTTTCTAAGTCTCAGACTAGTACTTCTGAAAGACTGTCGCCATCATCCTTCTGAAAGACTGTCGCCTCCAGCTCCATGTGACTTTGTTAAATGCCTTGTGGCTGACATAGTTTCCACTTTTGGGCCAGGCAGTCAGTAGGATCAGAGTTAGAGCCAGAGCTGGGTGAATACTCAACACAAACAAATAAATAAATAATAATGCTATGTCTCATTGTAATGTTTAAACGGGTTCACTTTGCTGCTGTTTTCACCCTGTAGTCACTGCGCAATTTAATACAGGTGTATATTATATAGTGTTCAAGGAGATCCAATATATAGTAGATTATTATTGGAAATGTTATTGGCAAAGCTGAAGTAATGAGATAGAATGTGCTCTCCTATGCTTTATAATACTGATTGCAGGTTCCTGAAAAGAAACTATAATAAGTGCTGGAATGATAACATGGGGGTGCTTTCTGTTTACAAGATAATGACTACATTGTGGGCTGAATAAACTATAGCAAAAAATATGTGGCTGATTGTCTCCCCACCACACACACACACACACGATTTTCTTCCTTCCCTCTTTTTTTCATCACCCATTCATCTTTCCTCCCCTACATGTTGGTAAGCCTCTCTTCAGAACAGCTGTAATAAGGATTTTTTGTCTAATTTGTTTTTCAGAACTGAACTGGCAGGGAGGGTTTGGGATTTTTCCAATGTAAACACATGCAACAGTTACAAGAGGCTTCCCGGTTTGTGAGGATTCAGGATTGTTAAGGTCAGA